CTTATTGTTGGAGAATTAAAATTTCATTGAAATAAGGCTCATTTGCTAAGTGACCCTGTCTCCGAAACTTATCGAAGCTAACGAGGTCATTGCACCCATCAAGTCATACTCAATATCAATTACGAAATTATCTTGTTTTAAAGAATATCCATTGTGGGACATCAACTACATACTTCACTCAAGTTAAGTTCTGAAGAGGTTCTTTCTATTTCTAGTCGTCTGTAATATCATTTCGCTAGCGTCCTATATTTTTTATTGTCCTGTCTCAATTTCTTTCCAACTCTTTGAGAAATACGATTTGACAGTGAATGGTTTATTGAATTAAGTACTTGAAGTATTTCAAAAAAACATTTTCAAGAAAACCGAACGATCTCGTCCGGCTGAGCCGCTAAGAATGGAGACTGGAAAGATACCTAAGGATGTACAGAAATAGAATTGGAATACGCGCCGCTTGTTCAAGTACAGTAACTTGCTGAACACATATGGACATACAGTTCTGCAGTATGCACATTGAAATATGCCAAACTAATTTTAGCATCCAGATAGTATGGCCGGGATGGAAAAGAGAAAAATAATCCAGCGCTATTTTGGTTTAGTTCATTAAAATCCACGGTAGTTAAAGGAGTTTTGGAGCAAACTGTAACTGCGATTGCAGAGAGGGAAAGTTAAGCAATAAAAGTTATTTGTTTTTGCACAGCAAGTAAGTACTTACGTAGCTACTTTAATAATCTAAGAAGTCAAGTGGTAGTATTTTTGCGAACCTAGTAAATTGTTTTGGCTACATTATTGGGACAATTTGAAAAGTTTGTTGAAGCACTCGGGTATGCTCTCGTCTTCTTTTATGTTGTTATGTGAGCCCTCAATGTTTTCCTCCTTTCTAGTAACAATGTATGCTTTTAACCTATGCACAAAAAGTTTATTTCTAGTATTTGCGTTGGTTTCAGTTAAATTTTTAATTACTTAAAAGTTTTTCTAGCTTTTTGTACAGAAAGTGTTTGTAGGATTTCGAATTCTATTGCAAACGAAACAAAGCTGCTGTTGAATTGAATGATTTAATTCAGTACGAAATGCTTTGTCCAATATTGAGCTGGTAGTGACTTCAGTTTAAATCTATTATTACTGGATTGCAACTCAATCAATGCTCAGCGCTCGTACCTCGATAAATAATATGACCAATTAAATAATGTCAGTTTCATAAATACGCTTTAAAAATCTGATTGTCAACTCGTTAAGGGAATATTCATTATGTGTTTTTATTCATCACGCCATTATTAGGGCCAAGTTGTAAAAAAGAGGTTTTATAATTGCTACAGTCATGTGTATTAATCCTCCTTAGGTACTCTTATGAAGTAGCCTTAGAAATATAGTAATTTCTTAAATGAAAAAATATTATCCAAGAAGGAAAGGTATGAAAATAAAATCTGTGAAGTTAGCAGACATGATTTGGAGACCTTATGTGGGAGAGGGCAGCCACATTGAAGTTGATTGATGATGGTCGATGGTAAAACTAAAAGACTTGCTCCCAATCACAACATAATAATAATAATAATAATAATAAGCCCGCAGGGCACCTTGAGGCGAGGTGACGGGAATTAGCGATCCCGCGGGCTACCATCATCCCGATTGCTCCAGGGAGAAGTCACCGTTCCTCATCTCCGGCTTGCCTTCATTGGCTGGCCGAAGTGGACGATGACGAGGAACAGGTCTCCCACCTCTGGCTTGCCTTCATTGGCCGTCCAGAGTGGAGTCGCGAGAGTAGTTATCCTGCTCGGAGGGTGGAAGCTGTTCGTAAGCGGCGAGTGGGCCAGTGATGCAGGATGCTTAGGCAGATGCAGATGATCTGAGTAGAAAGCTGGTGGCAGTTTCTTCACCCTTCAGCCACTCACATTTCCGTTGTCCCTCTGTTGCTATTACTAGCAACCATTCCCGGGGGCCCGGTCGGTGAGTTGGCGAGTCTCCACCTGCCATTTTTACGTGTATTTATTACATTGTTTCGGCAGGTGCCATAGTCCTTCCATAGTTCCCATCATACCAGTCCATAACAACCCACACCCATAGTCTTATCCCTTGTTTCCATTATCCGCAATAGTCCTACACTAACCGGAGACTGTCCTTGGGTGCATTTCCATAGTGCATACAGGGATAGTCGCCGGTTAGTGTCCCATTTCATTTAGATTAAAGTTGTCTAAAGGGCCTCTGCGCAGTTGGCTCCGGCCCCTCGTACGCCTTCCAAATGACCGGGACCCTGTGGTCCCGTGATTGGTAAAGACATACAAATAATAATAATAATAATGTATTTATTTCTAAAAATAATACAGATTTAAACTTAAGAACTAAAAATTAATGAAAATATATTACTGAGTAGTACAAAAGTTTGCCCTGATTGGTAGTATCAGAATTACAATAAATAAGTTGCAGAAAATCTGTACACAATATTGATGAACCCTGCCTCTTAAACTAGGGTAACCTGTATCTTAAGAGACAGTGTTTGACTAATTATGATTACTTCAATAATGGACTGTGTCGATCTACCATGTGCTTTATGCTTTATACTAAATAAAATTAAATATAGAATAGCCTAGATATAGGAGGTACCATGCAATACGTGTATGTGTGTGTGTGTGTGTGTGTGTGTGTGTGTGTGTATGTGTGTGTGCGCGTGCATTTATATTTGTATATTAAGCGATTAAGTTATGTATGTGAGTAAGGATTCTGTTTGTGAATAGTCCTGTTGTAATAGCCATTCCGTCACTTTTGACTTGAGATTAAATTTATTTAGGTCAACTATGTTGATTTTCTTTTGTAAATTTTTGTACATATATGTACTTAAGGTGTAGAATTGGTGTTTAGCAAAGGTGGTTTTGTGCTGAGTACTTGCGGGAAGGTTGGTTCGTTTGTTTGGATCCGATCGAGGGACGCTAGCATGTCTTCTAAGAACAGACCGTAGCACGTATAGCTGACGGACTGTTAATACTTTAGAATCTGAGTACAGCTGTGTTGTAGGATATACTTAAACCGTTTAAACCGTTACATATTTAAACCGTTTTTGACAAAAAAGTTTCTGCATTCAAAATAATCCGTATGTCGAAACGTAATCAAATATTGTTACTTTACTATTGTTATTTACACAAATAGCTACATTTACGTACCTATCTATCAATGAAAAAATGAAGTGAAAATATTAAATAACAGTGTTATACAATACTGTATGCTCTGAAAAAATATATTTTTCTAGATTTTTACATCTCATGCTATTTGGCGAGTTACTACGTGTACATGATTTATAATAGTAAGAAATTTATTATTTGTTTTGGATTTTTTACATCATAACCCTATTAGCAATGAATTTATAATAATTCTTGGAGTAACTATTAAAAGGAGCTCGGCTTCTTTTACTTAGGATTAATTACTAGGTAAGTAGTTAGTTATGCAGTCTGCGGAGTGCGATTAAAAACCCTGAATTTAACATGTTTTGGCCAATATTTCGTTTAAAGTCATCACGTCTAACTCGAAACTAGTGCAAACTGGTTATTCCACTTTATTTTAAAATTTATTTTTAATGTATCTGCTTACTGTTCGAAAACACTCCGAAAAATAAAGGCGTGGTGCAAGACGTAAGTAAAAATAACAATTTTATTTCTGTGCTCATTACTGTCACTCAGTTTAAAAAATCAACATCATTACTTGTTTCTTGAACAACTGCATGCTTTAGTTTAAGAGTGGATTAATTGATACGCATAGTTGGACACAAGAATAATATAAAAGTTCTACTAAAATAACTTGGTAAGACCACTAGTGGACCTACTCAGGCTCGAACGGCGCACACCTGCATTAAAACCGGTTCTTATAAACATGATTTCACTCTCTCGCCACCACCGGCGTTGCCTAATTTACGCATTCAACTTTGAGTCGGCTACGAATATTTCTTTCTCTATTCCGAGCAGAAAATTGTCGACATTCAAAACAGAAATTACATTTTTTTATTAAATTTTTCGGCTGCGCTTTGTTACTGGCAATGTACAGCCGGTGTTTTGAATATATTGTTGTCTATGTACTTTTTTACGAGTAAAAAGTAAGGACAGGCTTTAAAACGAATTTGTTTAATATCTTATTTATTTTTGTCTTTGTGTGCCATTTTTTTACATTTATACATACAAAATTAATTTTTTTTTTACCCATTTCATTAAAAATCCCAAAGTAATTAGTTTATCACCACCAGGGATTAATTCTTTTTAAATCAACATGTGCAGCTCTGTTAAAAAAAGACATAAACTTGAAATACCTTTTCAGATTTAAGAGGAACATTTTTGATTTAACTTTATGACCGTAATAAAAAAGCAGTGCGAATTAGAAAAAAATAACACGCCGGCTGGATTTCGTTGCTGCAAAGAATGGATTTATTTTTTTGTTTACAGGACCTGATTTGCTTTTGTTATTGACAGAATAATGCCCGGTTTTCTAATGAAAGCTAACAAAATACGGACCTCCAGAATTTATTTAAAATTTAAACAGTTTCTAAAATTCTAGGTAGCCATCATCACAACTTGCATTGTATGTACGTTTACGGAAGGATACCGCATTGCGCGTGCCATTTTATAAATTTGAATTATGCTTTGCAAAATTAAGTGTCAACTAGTGGTAGAACAACATCTAACCATATAATATATGATTCCTGGTACTATACTTAATTAACAAAGTGGTGTACTCAGATGGCTCACAAAGTGCGGTCTTAGAGCATTGCATAAATCTAAACCTTAGTGTCCGCCTCAGAGGCTATAGCGCATACGATGGTTTATGTTGCCCCACGTCGCTAAACCAGCCTCCCTAGCACACGGTTTAAAGAGTCAACAAACGCACACATAGGTGATTGTACTACTTATAGTCACACCTTAGCACACAGACAGGCTGTGCCTCGAGCCTTGCTTGTTGATACAGCGACGCAGCGGCGGCGGCGTGCTGAGCTGAGGTGACTCAGAAAGTAAGTAGGTAGCTCCGCTTACCTGTACAAATCAGCAGCAAAGTAAATGGTGAAAGCAGCCGATTGGTCCCCATCTTGGCAGTCCAGATACTTTCTATCTATTATACACTCCAAACAAATCTTATGCGCCCATGTTGCACAATTTTAATAAGTGCTTAACTCCAACTTAACTGTTATGCATTGCACACACAAAGTACACGTAAACACTCCAAAGTGGCCGGTTGATGCACTTTTGTTAGTCCAATCGACTAGAACTGACAGTTTAAACACTTTCAAACTTGATGCACTTCAAAACATAATTTCATTCTCCAATACTCAATGTAAACTTTGGCGCGAAATTTCCGTTACTGGCGAGCATGGGCACGTTGTACGCGGGCGACGGTTAGCCCAAGGCTGAATAAATTTCAAATCACAAAGCGGCGCGCGAGACAGAGACAGCACCACGAACCGAGTGAAATAGACAGATAATAAAGTTTGCCTTGTCTTGTCCGGGAATGAAGTGGCAACAACGCGTCGTTTTTAATACCATCTTGCGAGTTTTTCACTAGATGGCAGTCTTGTCCCCTCAGTAAAAGTTATAACATACTTTAAAAAACTTGCAACATTTTTATACAATTGTTTTAAAATATTTTCTTACAATTTTTCGAGACAAAATGTGCAGACGTTATACTTTCCAGAAGTACATTTAATCAAAAGTGGAATGAATAGTGAAGTAGTTCGTTGATCTGGCTAGTGGTTGACACATGGAATGAGGTTTTGGGTTCGGTCCTCAGACAAGGTATGGCAATAACAATTTATAAGTCATCTCAAAAGAAAAATAACATTTTCTAAGTGACAGGGTAAAACAATTTTGTGATTTATTACTATTATCTTTGAAACAATACAACTCCCGCATATCCACGCTAATGCTCAACTGGTCACGCTTGTATCACATGTCAAACTAAAAGGTGTTTCGTAGACGATACGCGATCACTGCGTAGCCGATGCGTAGCCAGTGCGTAGTTACTGCGTAGACGATGCGTAGAGATGGTTACAACCGTAGTCGAAGCGTAGTCGCGAGTAGTGTAGTGGAATACATTACAAAGCATCATAAATGAATAACTTTTTTGTTTCAACAAAAAAGAATAAACAACATTTTGCTTCCCCATTGAAAAAACAATTCGTGAAAAAATATTTAAAATACTTTTATAAAAAAGTCGGTCTCACAATTTTTGACAGAAAACGAGAACGGACAAGAGGGTTTCTTTTTACACACTCGATATTTTGTTTAATTCTTCACACTGAGCCGGGTCAAGATACCCGTTCTTGTGATCATTCCAGAGACTCTCAACTTTCCTTCATTCTTAATAAACACTTGCAATATCCTTTCTGCCCATTTTAAAAAGCTTTGATCTCGGAGCGAGGCTTGATATTGCGATGGAAATTTTGCGATGGACTGCTGAAATTCTGACTTGCTTTACGAGTAAAGTAGAAAATGAAATGTACTGGTTTTTACGATCGTCCGAATGCATGGAATGAACAATTGTCAAATCAGAGATGAATCATTGTGACGTATAATCCGGGAACTTAGAAAGCCGACGTTTCCAACTCCGCCGCAGCAGCATCGACGTCGTATCGCTGATAATTCGCTATTGTCTACATGCATGCTATACTCGCTCACGAACTTCCATTGTCTGACATTTGTTCATCATTTGATAGATACTGTATGTACCCGGAATATGATTGTCAAAACCCATTCAATACTACAGCAGCGTAGCGTAACTATGAGTACAATTGCTTCGAATAAATTATTCGACACAGTTCGAGGGTCTCATTAAACACGGAGTTCGGGTTAAGATTTTGTTTGTGATTTTTAGTGATCATTCAAATTGTATTCAATAGTTATACGCGATAGTATCTCTATTAAATTAAACCTAAAAAAGAAAATATCGAATGCAACTATTAACATAAGTTAGTAGATAATTTCATCTTTATGATAACGCTAACATGATACAGCATTAAAGACACTAGAACCTATACCAAATACTACCTATAACAAATATAGTATTATGAAAATAAAAGACCATCCTTTCGTTCACTACATCATATCCATCTAAAATAATAGCTTCCTTTTATTAACGAATAATCCCGAAACACAATATGGCCTAGATATTTTTACAAACTGTGGGCTCCAAACCAAACAAGTAATATTTGCGGAAATGTGCCAGCATCAAAGGCTTTGCCGACGAACCTATACACACATATTTAGTTAACGAAGTTTATGTGGCTCACAAAAATACCTGCCGTGGGTTACGCACGCTTACCTAACTTTCTACTCACACATTAATTTTCATACCTAATAAATTACGTCGCTCAAGTAATTTGCAAATAATATTTAGTTGGTAACCGCATCTTCACACCTTTGCCTAGTTGTCGATGTTGTTGGCTGTTAAACTTTTAGTACCGAATACTCGGCCTTCCATATTAGCACAACATTTGGAATTGTGCCCAATACATAGTAATTTTAATGAAAGACTTGTCCCCTTTTACATGGCACTAATATGTTGCACAAGTTCGGTCGATATACAATTGTGCTGTATGTATAATTTGGCTCCATCTAACTCATAAAGTAACTGATTTGATATATTTAAACTTAGTCTCATATACATACATAATATTTGTATATTCCAGTTTATATGTAAATATTGAAAAGCAGCTGCATCGTATGCAAATAAGTGTTTACAAATGTGAAGTTCATTTTAACTAACTTTAAAAAGATGGGGCACTTACTTGGTACTTTTTCTGACACCTACATACAGTATATGTTAAAAACTATGACGTCATGTCTGCATAAGCATAAGGTGGCATAACATATTTGTAGCGCGATGGTTAAGCAGCCCGCTTCTCATGCAAGATACGGGTTTGAAACCTGGCAAGTACATATATGACCCTTTCCGAGATATATAAACTTTCTATGATTATTAGACACCACTGATATACGGTGAAAGAAAACATCGTGAGGAAACCTGGACGTCGCGTCGTCTATACGCAGCTTGGTCAAAGTGTGGTGATTTTTTTAAGATTTCTCAAACCTTCTAAGTGTGAGAGATCTTGGCTCAGCAGTAGCAATTAAAGGGTGATGATGAGATGTGGCGTGATAACGTGCCCACTATTTACCACTTAATTTGAGATTGTAAGGGCGGTAGAACTATAGCACCATTTGTCAGTCATTCGTGAGTGAAATAATTTCGAAAAAAATGTCATTTTACGCGACTTAGTCTTTGTAATTTTATAATAAATATCATCATCATGATAACACTTGAGAAGCTACTTTTTAGAAGTGAATTACATTAATCGCCACACCTGGCGATTTGGAGTTTTCTCAATTACGTCTAAACGTTTTAGAGGATGCTGCTGCTCATCCAATTGTTGGTCACAGTTTTGATACATTACAAGTATAATATAATCGCGTAATTCTTAGACTTGTTTTAAATAATTAATTTTAAACGATAAAATTTTATTTGTCAAATTAAAATTCTAATTTTAATACGAAAGCAATTTATTTAAGTAAAGTCGATCAAAGGGCCAGCTTCAAAGTGAAACAATATTTACTTAAAGTTAGACCGTGGCAAAATACACGAAAGACGACATTGGTTTACCTACCTTTATTAAATATTATATAGACCTTAATAATTTCCTTTATTCGTTTTGTTACTACCTATTAATTGATAAACGAACGAATAGTTACTTTGACAATGAAACCTTCGCCGCTTAAGTGTCTGGCTCACTCCGTTCGGCTAGAAACTTTAGCTTTAAAAACAACAATAAAATAAAATGTTAACTGCATAAGTGGCGCAGTGGCTGGGTAACAAACTGCCGTGCAACATGTCGCGGGTAATTTTTTTTCTTAAACGTTTAAAAAAAAACAAGTACAAAAGAGTACAAAAAAACAGTTACATGAGAAAATCCTAGAGTCCCCCCTCTAGGATTTTCTCCTGTTTTTGTGATAGGAGAAATTCATCAAATCACTTCTCCCGCCCAGGGCGAGGCGAGAGGAAGTGTCAGACTCTTAATGACTAAAAAGGCCCCGTTCCTTCTCCTGCTCCAGGCCGAGTCCGCGGTGCGTTATTGCGCTTACACCGCAACCCCGGCCTTGCTGTGGGTGGGTTTACAAACATACAATGTCACATACACATCACACCCAGACCCGGAACAACAATTTGTGGATCACACAAAGAGTTAATCAACAAATTGTTGTTCCGAATTTGTGTCTGATGTGTAATTCTGTACGTATGTATGTATTGTGTGTTTTTTAAACGCACCACGATATACTTACTTATAAAAGTAAAAGATAGTTCGTTTGATTAACCGTAATAATGCATCTGTTCTCTAAGCAGACATACGTACTTTATCCAAACTAATATTATGAATGCGAAAATAACTCTGTCTGTCTGTCTTTCTTCACGCCTAAACTGCTGAACCAACTTGTCTGAAATTTGGTACAGACATATTTTGGAACTCGAGAACGGACATGGGATAGTTTTTAAGCCAAAAATCTGCAGAAAGTCACAATTCCATGCGAACAAAGTCGCGAGCAAAATCTAGTTCATTTATATAGCAGCTGGTGCTGGAAATCAGCGCCGTGGACTCAAACCATCTTGCTGAGCACTAGCCATTTTGCACTGTAATGGCGTTGTTGTTTGTTTAATTGTTGTTTTCTTCCATTCAGTATTTTTTGTAACTTTGTCACAACGCAAACACAATGTTTTTCTTTCGTTTTCCGTTCCTTTCTTTTATAAGAGATATCGATGTACTAGAATAATATATATTTCTTTGTCAATGATAATAAATACAGTTACTTATTATTCATTTAATTATTTAAATCACACTAGAATCATTCAATTCATCACAATCAACAAATGTGATCTTTTTTAAAGGGGAAAATCATCAAATGTCTTCTTCACCTTGGTTCGGCGCAAGAGGGTGTCAGGTTGAACTTAAAACCCCTCCATTCCTTCTCCTCCTCCGGGTTGAGGCTGCGATACATCATAGCGCTTGCACCTGACCTAACATTGAATTTCAAACTAAACGTTAAATGTTGTCACGAAATAACTCGCGTTGTTCAAATACAAAATATGTGATTGGTTTACACATTGGTACGCCACAGCTTTGGACAGATTTTCTTTGCAATATCGAAACCACGGACTATGTGATGTGATTGCGGTTTGTGATATAAATAGTCACTTTTTATGGCGGAAAATCATTAAAAAACATCCCTTGCTTTGGATGGAGCGAGAGGGAGTGTAAAACTCTTACTTTTACTTAATTACGTTTGTACCCGGAACCCCAGTTGGAAATCAGCCCTAGTAGGCCCCATCTTTTTTTTTCCGTCCAGGGTCGAGTGGA